AAGTTCAAGTCACCTTCAGATTCTGGCAGTGGTGGATGCAATCACACAGCAACGTTTTGATCATTTCTTCTCAGAGAGCTCCCAGAGGTTGGTTTGGGCAATTGCTTGTCTGCCTTAAGCAATGTTCTTCGTGGGCCTGTCTTGTCGTTTGGCTTCTAATCCTATAGACGCAACATAAGAGATAAAGTCACAGGAGAAGGCAGTTTGGCTTGCAGAGCATTGGACATGCCATTTTGTTCACCATATTTGGTTGACAGGTTTTTTCTTTTACCTTTGATAAGCTCCTACCTTAGGTATGTTGTAAGAACTGGAAGCTCAGTGCTGAATGAGAACTTTCTCTGCCTTAACAGCAGGAAGGAAAGGGATTTCTGCTTACCCAGTTTAAATGGAGATGGCGTTTCTCATGTTTTAGCAAAAGTAGTGAAGTGTTGCCTTTACCAATTCTACATTCATTCTAAATAAAAATAAAATAAATAAATGAATAAACAAATAACAAGCTAAAGAAAACAGTATACCCGATCTGTCACTCCCGTGAAGCACATGAAGACAGACATTGATGAAGAGGTGAGTTTTGAAAAGATCTTCATTTGAGGAGTCATGGCTAATCTGATTGGACGACTTCTGTAGAAACACAAAAAGGAAGAAAAGAAAGACAAATGTAGCCCTGTGTCAAGAATGGATTATCTCTAAGAGACAATGTTAGTTTATATTACAAGTTATTTGTGTAGATAAATGACAAGGTCTAAATGAAAAGATTTTGGTGTTAGAACAAATTGAGTCTGAGATGTTGTATTGAACAAGGAAGATAAAGTGAAAGGGATTTCTCACTGTGAATGAATACAACCTCAATGATGGCAGGGAAAAAAGGTAGTATTGACATCATTAACAAAGAAATGCTAGTAATGGAAGCTCTATAAAAAAGGCAATGATAAAAAAGGTGATTCTACATGATCAGAACTCAAAGGCACAAAGGGAAGCCATGGAGGCAGGCTGAAATTCTGAACTGGCCAGGATAATCTGCAGATATTTCACAAGTATTAATTTGAATTATTAATGCACTGTGTACAGTATGCAGAAATGATTGCAGGTAGGCCATCCTACAAGGTTAATTTAGATTGATGTCATCTGTCATCAGCACTAGGACAAGTTTGCTCTCATTTATGCTTAAGCAACCTTTCTACCTGACGCAGGATTTCATGGGTAAAAGAAAGAAGAAAATTTTGCCAGCATTATTCTGCCATTATCCCTTATTTAATTCATGTTTGTTGTAATCTGCTCTTAAATACTCTTACCCTTAACTAAAATTGTTGAGAGCATATTTCAGCTAGCTAAATGTCTAGGCACTCTACTGGCTGATTAAAATTCTTAACAGGATGCGCAAATTAGAACAACTGCTGAGAAAACAAAAACCAAAAACAAACAAACACCAAAGAGGTTGAGCAACATGTGTCAGCAAGAGACTTAGTGTATTCAAACGCAGGACAGCTAGCCTTTAGCATTAAAGAAGAATAGCTTTCTTGTTAGAACAAAAATAAAAGAGTGGAAAAAATATATATATAAAAGACAAAAAGTGAGGTGCCAAATTCCTTAACATTAGCACACAACTGCACTGGCTTCAATAAAAGTCTACCAGTTTAGACAGGAAAATGCAATTCAAACAAATAGCCTCTTTTTCTGGAACTTGTCATTGTTACTTGACAGAGTTTGAGGCCAAATGTTCCATAATAGCTGAGGCAGAGGCAGCAGGATGCAGAAGCTGCTAGGAAACCCTGTGCACTCTTTGCAGCAGCGCAGCGGCTCCCTGGCTGCTTCGCTCCACGGCTCTGCCCCGCGCAACACGGCAGGTCTCTAACAGCCATGGCAGCGGCCGCGGTGCTTCAGCAGCCCTGAAGAACCACTTGTGAGGGTCTCAGTTACCACATTCCCAGCTGCAGAGCTGAGGCCTTTTCAGGTCTATGACCTGTGACACCAAAGCCAGTTTTCTTGCAAAGGGCCTATGAAACATAGCTTAGGAAAACAAGCCTACTGGGGGCTTAAACCTACTCTACAAAAGCACAAATCAAAACAACTGAAAACCACTTTCACAGATGGGAAACAGAACTCTCTTCACTGCTGTCCCATGCTTGCCGGTGACGCGGCCAGCAGTACAGCGCAGGCCAGACTCTAGATACTACTTACTTTTAATTTTGCATTCTGTGCGATCTCTTTTACTACACAGTTGGGCACCAGGATGAAACAGCCATCACATCCCCCGTTATTACTGGTGCAGACAGAGAGCTGTTTCAGGGCTTATCTGGCTTACAACAGCACTGAGGAGACCCAGACCTTTCCTACTGCGGCGGGAGCTTCACGACGGCCGCGCACGGGACTCACGAGGTCCGAACGCGGCTGCGCAGGGCACTGACACCCCACGCAGACCCAAACTTGGGCGGCTGCACTGGGGGCCGGCGCGTTGTCGGGGAGGATCCCCCCATTCCCTCCCCCGGGCGCTACCACAGAGCCGCAGCGGCAAAGCGGCAAGGCGGGCCGGGCGCAGCCCTGCGCCCGCCCGGGCTGGAAGGAGCCCTGTGCTCGCTCTTCCTTCCGCGCTGCCGCCCTCCAACCGCACAAACCGGCAGGGGCAGCC